ATCCTCTTCAACCCATCTCATAACCACCATACGATATGCCGCGAGATCCTCTCATCGGCCTCGTAGGCAAACCCTCTTCAGGGAAAAGTACAACACTTAACAGTCTTACAGACGCTACCTCTAAAGTTGGTACGGAAATATCCCCCATATCATTGCATTTGACCCAAAATTACCCCTCCATTCACTTACATCTTCTCTCATGTAGGCAATTTTCCGTAAGCACTCACTCTATTAATTATATGCGCAAATACCCGCCGTCTCATACAAGAAACTGGAGCAATCGCACAAGATCAGAGAGAGAGAGAGAGAGAGACAAAATACTGAGCCACTTCCAGATTCACAACCATCGACCCTCAACGCGCAATCGGATATCTCCAAATCGACTGCGCCTGCGCTCGCTATAATCTTCAATCACGTTGCAAACCCAACTACGGCTCCTGCATCGATGGTCGTCGCTCCGTTCCTATCGAACTCCTCGATGTAGCTGGTCTCGTCCCTGGCGCACACGAAGGAAAAGGTCTCGGAAATAAGTTTCTTGACGATTTACGTCACGCAGATGCACTCATTCATGTCGTAGACGTAAGTGGTACAACAGATGCAGAAGGAAAAGCAACAAGAGGCTATGATCCTAGTTATGATATTGTTTGGTTACGTTCAGAGATAGTAGCATGGATTCGAGGAAATTTGATGCAAAAATGGGGATCGATAAAACGAAGACACGTAGCTGTGAAAGCTACAGCTGTTGAGACATTACAGGGACAATTTTCTGGATATGGAAGTACAAGTGTGGTGGTTGCGCGGACTTTGGATAAATTGGCACTAAAGGAGCCATTGGAACATTGGTCTGATGAAACGATTGATCTGGTGGTAAATGCTTTTACGGACGAAAAATTTCCAACGGTCATCGCGCTCAATAAGATTGATCATGCGGATGCGGATAAGAATATAAGCAAGATTGCAAAGATGCAGGATCCAAAGAGTATAGTACTATGTAGTGCTGTTTCCGAGGTTTTCTTGAGGAGGTTGGCTAAGCAAGGCTTTGTGAAGTATACGGAGGGAAGCGAGTTTGTGGATACGAGGGACGATTTAATTGCCGATGGTGATGAAACTGGAGGAGGTCTGAAAGAATTGGACGAAAAGCTCAAAAACAGAATTGAGAATTTGAAGGATATGGTTCTTTACAGATTTGGAAGTACGGGAGTAGTACAAGTACTTTCTCGAGCAGCAGAATTACTAGGTTTAGTACCAGTATTTCCTGTAAGGAACGTAGGAAGTTTAATAGCAGGAAATGGTGGATCTGGAAGTGAGAAGGTATTCAGAGATTGTGTATTGGTTAAGAAAAATACTACAGTCGCGGAGTGTGCGAGAAAGGTTATGGGAGATGCTCCTCTGGCTTATGTTGAAGGAGCCGGTGGAGTAAGAGTTTCGGAAGATGCTATTGTTTCTGTTGGTCATAATGATGTGCGTATAACTCCCTTTCATGCCCTTGAAGAAATTTAACTAACAACTATCAGATCCTTTCCTTCAGAGTCGGTAGAGCTTGAGAAGCTTACAATCTTCATTTCAAAATGTATTCATGATGCTATGGGCCTGGCGTTTTAGGAAGAAGGATTTAGCATAGCAAATGGCGTTCATGAGGTCCTAGTCGAAATTACACATATTTGAGATTTACTTGAGATATTTGTTGTTGACATACACGAATTCTTGTGTTTAAGTGTTGAATATATGCCAAATTATTGCTATCATGAGATTATATCCCCATAAATTTCCCTTGGCAGTAAATATCTCAACAATAAGCGAATGGGGGTTAACACCGACTCGAGACCAATTGATCTTTTCTAACTTTCCATGATACTTTCTAGCACAATCAAGAAACAGCACATATTAACTTAAACTTTCAGCTCTAAGTATACATACTAGAAAACGGTCGCTTAAAAATTCTGATATATTTTTATAATTAAATATTCTCCGATCCTAAGGCATTCACAACGCATTGCACAAACACGAATTGACCAATCACTCACCCACAATCGTCATACCTATTAGGTAGTTCATCCGGTAAAAGGGGGGCGAACATTTCCACAACACATACCCCGCATTCTAGATCTCGATAAAGAGTTGTGACGACATCGATTGAATTGATCGATCCATCAAATTATAACGAAACCAATCCAATTCAATTACCGTGTGCCAAGTAACCACTAATGCAGAATTGAACGATTAGCTAAGGAAGGAGAAAGTTTCATAGTGAACTATTGATCTAAGCTCTGGAAGCTATGTAATAGCGTTTTCTTCTCGCTAGGTAGAGTATCTATATGGTTCTCGCACAATCACATTCTAAGTTTCTGTGATTACTTTTTCTTTTCGTGTATTCCTTTCGAGTATTCCTTTCACATTTTCTTTCGATATTGTCGAGACAAAGAAACCTACATACCAGATTCATAGTTGCAATACTTATTATCCAAATCAATCAATCAATTCATAATCCTAATTTCCACCTCTCAACCACAACCACCCCCAACCACTGCACCATGTCCCCCGCGCTCTCCACCTCCCCCGCCTCGCGCATCCGTCACCTAACCCCCAACCCCCGTCTCCATCTCCAATTCTTCCGCAACACCCCCAGCACCCCTCGCGCCCAAGCACCCTCCATCCAACGAGCTGCCTCTCCTCTCCAACGCCGCCGCTCCTACTCCACCAGCACCGCCTACCGCACACCCTGGACAGGTCGTCCCGCGTCCGAAAATGCAGGCACGGATGAACAGACGGAGAAACATAATGTGCAACATGATCAGTCGCAGAAGAGTAAGGAGGAGAGAGTGAAGGGGGAGAGTGGCAGTGCGGGGTTGGAGGAGAAGCCCAGTGGACAGAGTAAGGATGCGAAGAAGAAGGTGCAGGTGGAGTTTCCGGAGGGGGCGAAGAGGGGTCCAGTTATTGGGATGGAGGATGAGAGGGGTGGGGTGAGTTTTCTTTTTTGTTCTTCGCTTCCTTGTTGTTTTCGGTTTGTTATATGGTTTGGGATGAGAACAGAAAGTGGAAAGAACACCAGCTAATAAAATATGTGCAAATAGAAAGGTTCTTAAATCCAAGGAACCCTGAATACAAGTGCTCGTATGCAGTATACAACATTTGATCGGTAGAAGCTGTATACTACGAGATTAAGGATTCATGGATAGATATGGCGTATCTGCATTTGCTTGAGGGCTTGCTTGAGGGCTTACTTGCTTGCTTTCTATCTAAACATCTAAAATCACTAGCGCTATCCATGTATTCAAACCAAATATACACAAAATATACACATCCTCAACACATCTGATCTACTGAGCATTTGTCAAATTGTCGTTTTTTCTGATACGCAGTTATCGCAAGGATACATATTCCCCATTGCGGTTTCTCTCCAATTAGTGAACCAGTTGATCATCACATTATGATTATGGGGAAAGCAGGAATAAGTCTGATCTTGTATTCCTGTACTATATATACTATTGCAAACCCAGGTCTATCTTTCTATCTATCCATCGAGCACATCCATATCAAAATCTCCTCACGTCACCACTATCAAATATAAATCCTCACTCTCCACCCCTAAATACCATAGTCAGTCAGTCAGTCAGCCAATCTTAAACAACCTACTCTATCCCCCGCTATGCTTCTAATGGTATCAGTAATAACACTATCTATCATATTCATAGCTAGCCAAAGTATCTAGGATCTCCCAAACACGGGAAGGAAAGGGGATACAAAAGATAATTCCTCGACATACATTGAATTTGCCATTACTCTATCTAGACCCTAGATGTTAAATGCATTAACGAATGGATGAACGGACGACTGACGCTTCAATTTCGCTGATAGGGGTAGATTATCTTAGCGAAATCTAGACATAGTATGTAGTTTGCGAGAAGAGAGATATTCGTTTTGTATAGTTACCTTACTTATTGTCGATTAATATTTTCTGAAATTAGTGGCGAGGAATTTTAGGTTGGAGGTGTTGAATGTCATGTTTTGTTTTGTTTTGTTGTATAGTTACTTGCATAATGCGTTGAGAGATATTATTATGTATAGTACATGAATGGATATTGATGTAGATGAAAGATTTTGTTTTTGTATTTGGATGATGAAGTGTGAAGTGTGAAGGGTCTTATCGTACTATGTCCATCATTCATTACCATGTTTCCCTTTTTTTTTTGGCATAGGCGAAACAGATGAGATTCATACCCAGGTATGTATGTGTGCGGGCGTTGAGCAAGAAAGGTTTCCTCCCACCAGCTCAGAAATTCAAATCGGTTTCAAGATTTCCAAAAAGTCCTTGACAATTCTCGAGAATTCTCAATAGGTAGCTAGATTCCGCCATGAGGAATCGCCTTCCAAATCCCAAGTCGATACCGTATCATCCTCCGTATTCCACGGGGAGATATCAAAAATCCCTGTTCTCTTTAGTACTACTAATATATCAATAAACTGAAGTTGGCATACGCATTACCCTTCTTCCGTTCAAGGGTGTTGATTGGATGGCAGCATCCACTATCATTGTAGTTCTCCCCACACAGGGGTCCTTCTTTGAGATATCGAGACGTAAATCTGAAGTCAAGATCCTTTCTCCACTTGCTCGTTTGTGAGGTTTCGATCGGGGATAAAGCGATAGGGATTTTTTCTCCGACCAATCTTTCTCTTCCCAGATGCCGAAATGCGAAAGCAGAGGTATGTGAATTCATAAGTCGTGATGATTTTTGTGTTGGTGCAATCAAGTGCTGCGGTGCTGGTACATCCATAAGAAAGCTAATAGAATAGGAGAAATAAGAGAGTGCGTAATAGACCAAGCGAAGTTGGCCTCCATGTCAAACTCCTATTTGCAAACCGACGCCAACGAAGGGAATTGCGATAATCAAGAACAGCGCTGCAGAATTCCTCGATCGGATTTTCGTAAGCGCACCGATTCAACCCACACAAACCCTAACATCTAATATCATACTCACACAGAGTCCACCTCTCAAAGTAATCTACACCATCCTCTCTCCCTCAGAACCTGGCATATAAATCGAAGATGTCGTATCATGAGCCAATGCGAAAGGTGGACATCCTGCAGCGACCAAAGCCGCTATCCAAGCCATGATTATTTGATCATTATCATATCTCTGATCCGGGTTTAGAGAGAGATCTGACGGCGCTGAAGACATTATTTCTCTCTCTAACAATAAACAAAATATATAAATTATAACTCAGCCAGTAAATATACGAAGAAGAATATGGAAGATCGTCCAGTCGCTGATATGCAACACAGCCAGCGACTACCACTCACATCAAAAGATCATAGAAATAAGCAATTAGTCGCCGACGACTAAAAATCAGTATAAACCAATAAAGTTAATGACCTTCTCGCCGATCAATACCACACACAACATAACCCAATCCATTGGAGCTCATCTCTTTATATATATCAAGGAAAAAAATGGGGGACACAGCACAATCCATTATCACGGAACACATGAAGCCTCAAGATGTGGGGACCCAAAAACAGGTGGGACAAAAAAATTCGCGACATTTCGAGAAATTTCTACCGCAGAGCGACGACGACATTGATGCGTCGCTTTTGCATGTGAGAGCAAGCCACCGTGTAACAATTTTAGTAGAGTGGAGATTGTGCACTCTTGATTGAATGTATCATGCTGGAATTATCTGGAAGGCTGATTTGGATTGTAAGGTATTCGAGTCTGAGAGGATTATGATGAAGGAGGACTTTGTGTTACAGCACGTGCTATGCCCCCACGCGATGTTGAGAACTTATTAGTCGTGCTCGTGGTGCTTTGATATTTTTGTAAGTCAGATACCTAGTAAGTACGGAGCTTATGCTCCTTGATGTGAAAAATACAGTGAAAAAGATAAAGGAATCACTTAAACATAAAAGTGTAACAGGATAGTCCTAGGAAGTGGTGCCCACAAAGATTGGATGGTGGAGGACAAGAAGTTATCTAGGTGTCAAAAAATAAGCAAAGGGAAAACAAATCATTGAACCAGTGAGAGATTCCCAGGACCTACCTCGAGCTGAAAACTTCAATACAAGCCTCTATTTTGGCAAACATACTCAAGTTGTGCTATCATTTTCTCTAATCTTAAAGGACGGAGAGAAGTTCCCTGGAGGGAGTGATCGTAGACCATATACCTATTACGTTCATACCGAATGAAAAACTACCATCACACATACACCAACAAAACGCAATGAGCAAATAAATTTTAATGTTTTCGTTATATACTCGTACAAATGTACTGAGGAATGACCATATACTATCTACAATCCTTTCCGACCAGATTCGAGTTCCTAGACCACAAATTCATCAATATCAAGGTTCTATATGCCCCATGGAAATTTTGAAAAGAGAAGGGGTCACAGCCCAATCAATATACAACCCTTATCAAAATCCCACAGTCGTAGTTCCCCACCCACAAAGTGATGTTATCTATTGTACGAAAATGTATAAAGTAATTCGAATAGGCTGGAGCCACTGAATCATATGCTCATAAATTACTCCTCCTTCCTTCCCTTTCCATTAACATTGAGAATCTTGAAAGGAGAAAGGTAAAAACACAATCAAAGTCGCAATACAAGATCGTAATCTTCTTTTTCCCATTCCGCGCTATGCAATACAAACGCCCAAATTATTTCCATGAACATGTCATCGTTTCCCGCTGAAAAGAGTATGATATAAAGTGATATAAGTGACCCTTACTTGTTGTTGATCTTGTTTTCCTCCAACGACTTGGCGAATTCTTCCGCCAATTCGACATTTTTGAGTTGAAGAACCCATGTTTCCAACTTTCCATCATCACCAACAGTATTAAGCTTGACAGTCTTGCCACTGGCCTCATATTTGAATTGCGAAAGAAGTGATCTATTGATGATAATAGATCCTGATGGGTCACTTCGCAAAACAATTCGAGTAGCCTTCGTCTCTTTATGGCAAAGTACTTTCAATGGTCCAACACCTTTGGTATCCCATGGACTAGATTTTGTTTCACCAGCCTTTGCTGGATTGAACTTCAAAGCTCTAGTTCGAACAGAGTAGACAGCGTCTTCATGTTCTTCACCTGGACTAGATTCCAAGAGGTTCACCTGAGCATGAACCTTTTCGGGATCGTTATCATCAGCGCCATCGGTTGTCGCACCAGGTGAATTGGCCCGAGATGCATCTGCTGAAGGGAATGAAGAAGCTGGAGCAGATGGTGGCCCGCCGAACTGGAATCCTGTAGTAGTGGTAGATCCACCAAAGAGAGTAGAAGCCGAGGTTCCAGAACTACCAAACAATCCCCCCGATGGGTTGGTTGTTGGCTTAGTTGGGGTAGAAGAGGATGGTGTAGCACTAGTGAAGTTGAAAACTGGCGCAGATGGTGCATCACTGCCAAATTTGATTGGTGTATTTGGCTTCCAGGTTTTATCTTCAGGAGTACTAGAAGTTGCGCCAAAAGAGCTACCGAATATATTTGTAGCTGGCTTTGGTGCCAAATCCTCTTTCTCTTCTGGAGCAGCACCAAAACTCATACGGCTAGAAAGACTTCCGCCAGTACCAGGAGTGGTTGTGGCTGCATCTGTCTTGGCAGCTGAACCAAACAAATTGAACTTTGGTGGTTCAGTAAGTGCTTTTTTTGAGAAAATGTTAGAGCCGTTCTCATCAACAGGAGTACTAGGTGTACTTGTAGTGGCCTTGCTTGGATTTGGTTGGTAACTTGGATCTTTCTTTTCACCCTCTTCGTCGCTGTTAGAACCGCCATCGGAACTTCCATCGTCCTCGTCATTCTGATTCTTGGATTCTGCATCAGAGAGATGCGCAAATGGGTTACCAGAAAATGAAGGGGTCTTTCCTGGAGCACTTGCAGCGCCATCAAGGACGGATCCAGTGCTAGAGAACAAGTTAGGAGTTGATGCTCTCGAGGTATTTGCCGAATTGAAAACACTTTCAGCAGCACCGGTAGCAGGTTTAGCTTGTCCGAATAAGGAGGTAGAAGTAGTGGTGGCGACTGGGGCGAACATATTTGTAGCCGCTGGTTTTACAGTCTCTTTTGGCTCGGTGGCTTTTGGGGCATCGGTGGATTTGACGAGGAAAGAAGGAGCCTTGACCTGTGCAAGCTCTTCCAATTCTTTAAGCTCCGCAGCTCTCTTCTTCTTGTACTTAGCTTCCCACTCAGCCTCATCGTCGTCCTCAGAATCAAAATCTTCATCCTTAGCTTTTTGCATCAAATTTTTTTCGTTATCTTCTGCATATGCGACAGCCTTTTTTCCAAATTGAGCCATGAAATTGACGGGTGCACTACCAAAAGTTGGTGGCTTAATACCACCAGTAGGAGCGCCGGCAAAGGTAGGTGGTTTAATACCGCTAGTACCAGTAAATGTGGGTGGTTTGGTTGGGGAGGTAGTAGGTGTGGTAGATGTAGGTGCGAATGTGAAAACTGGAGGCTTGCTTGGCGTAGTAGAGGTTGCAGCGGTATTAGACTTGATGGGAGAAGCACCTGCCAAATTTCCGAATGGATTTGTAACAGGTGCTGCTGCTGGTACTGATGCAGCTTCCTTAGTAGCTCCAGGCAATGCCCGAGTCTTTCTCTCTGGGCTGACAGATCTTGTTGATTTATCTGGGCTGTCCAAAATGTTCTTGAACATGTTAGAAGTGCTTGAACTAGAACCGTTTAAAGTTTTCTTGTTGCTGTTCTTGCCATCTTCAATACCTTCAGGGTCATTTTGTGTCAAATAAACCTCGGCTCTTCTCTTCTTGCTGCTACCAGTGTCAACTTCCTCGTTCTTCTTGCTGTTACCACTGTCAACTCCTTCGTTGTTGTTCAAGTGTTCAGGTCTTCTCTTCTTGTGTCCGCTACTTTCTCCACCAACTTCCGTTTGAGTTTCGCTTCTTCTCTTCTTACTTGGAGTTGGTTCTGGAGCCGCACTTCTGGAAGGCGATTTGCTTGGACTGGATGAGCGGCCGGGCTGAAGTTTTGGTGCTTTCAACACCGAATTGCTATTGATCTCAGACTCGGAATCATTTGTCGCACGTGAGCGTTGTCTTTCTGGACTACGAGTACTTCGCGATCGCTTTTCTGGGCTGGGAATACGATGTGAGCGTTCTCTATCTTGTCTAACTCGCTTTTGAGGGCTCCTGTTTTCTTGATTCTCGTCATTCTCAACATCAGCCTCTGCCCTGTCTCGCTTGTTGGAAATATGATCAATGTTATATTCTGCAAGAATCTCTCTCTTTTTGGCTTCCATCCATGCCAATCCTTTGGATGGGTCTGCTCCAGGAGGCAAATGCTGAAAGTAAGCTGCCATTGATCTTTGCACAGATGCAATGCGCCAAAGTGCCTTGAATTCTCTTCTTTGAACCGTGTTAAAATTAACAGGCATATTGGTATCCATCTCCATGTCTGTGGGTTCAGAAACTTGGAACTCAAAATCGGACAATCTACCAGGAGCTAGTGCTCTCTTAACAGGAGCAAGTGCTTTGTTATTGGAGGGTGGCGATTGCGAAGATGAGTCTGTAGGAGCAGTGAGAGCCATTGAATGTGAATCGGAGCCGTTGCTCAAAGATCCGTTAGAGGGCTGAGCACCTTGTGTTTTAGAAGAGAAGCCACCAAACAGGTTGTTTGTGACGGGTTGTGCCGCGTCTGTTGGGGTATCTACTGATTTGAAAGGAGAAGAAGCTTTGTTGAAACTAGACGCCTCAGCAGTACCGCGAATTTTGAATGAAGAGTCAGATTGGTTGGTGGATGGAGCAGCGAACTGTGGAATGTTAGCTTGGATTGCCTTATCATTCGATAATTCAGGAAGGAAACTTACAGCTTGTTCTTTGGTTGCACCACCCAGTTGATGTTCTGTTGAAGAATTTGGCTTACCAAAGCTTGCAAAGAGAGCATTTGGAGTCTGGGCAGATGCCTTCTCTGGCGAACTGTTCGTTGCATTTGACTCGAACAGTTGTTGGCCGGCTGGTTTGTTCGGACTGAACAGATCAAGAGTTTGCTTGTCTTTTGGCTCTTCAGCAGATTTTGATCCAAATAGATTGTTGCTTTGGCCATTGATCTGGTTATTAGGGTTGAAGAGATTTGGAGTTGATTCTGCTGGTTTGCCAAAGCCGGTGAAAGGTGTTGAAGAGGCAGGCGTTGCTGGGGGCTTAGCGAAGATATTCGACGTGCTCGAAGAAGTTGGAGTCGAATCAGTAGGCTTGAACCCACCAAAGAGTGAATTGCTTGAAATTGAAGGAGTCGACTCAGCAGGCTTAGGGCTACCAAATAACGAGTTGCTTGGAGCTGTTGGAGCTGACTCGGCAGGTTTGACACTACCAAAGAAGGAAGTGTTTGAAGTAGATGGCGTCGACTCTGCAGGCTTGACACTCCCAAAAAATGAGTTGCTGGAAGCAGCTGGGGTAGCCTCGGCAGGCTTAGCAGCACCAAAAAGTGGAGTGTTCGAAGCAGTCGCAGGAGGAAATGACGAGTTAACGCTGCCAAACAAGTTGGTAGTGGTTGGTGCTGATGTAGTGGGAAATGAAGCAGAAGTGCTTCCAAACAAATTCGTGGTACTTGGAGCAGCTGAAGTTGCAGTGAAGGATGGGGTGAAAGAGGAAGACGGAGCAGATGTGGTTGCAGTAGTGTTGCCGAACAAGCTCTGAGAGTTTGAAGGTGCAGCATTGGTAGAACTAAGACCAGTAAAACTCGTATTGGCTTGATTACCGAAGCCACCACCAAAGGAACCGCCAAATGAGTTATTTTGCGCACCAAAAGAATTGTTGGTATTGTTCTGTCCGAATGAGGTACTCGAATTTTCCTGTATGAATTGATTTTGGTTAGCACGATAGTCCGTAAGCATATGACCATTGCCAAAGAGGGACTCCGTTGGTCTGGCTGAGAAACTTCCACAATAAATCATGTCGGCGGACAATCCTAGTTGGCCCATTGGATATTGAATGTGAGAAGGTTGTACCGGCGCTTGCCCAGCTTCTGGAGGATACTCGACTTTGTGGTTGCCAAACATGTTTCCAGCGTCTTCGTTTGAATGAAAGAACTGTTGGTCAAAGGTTGAATTGTCGGGTTGGTAATTAGGAAAGGTTGTTGGGGAGTCATTGGAACCAAAGAGAATTTGAGAAGGATCGGAATAAAAATTACTTGCTTTTTGATTTTCAAGGGCGAGAGGATTTTGTGCCTTTGAAAGTGAATTTGCACCAAAATTCAAAGAATTTTCTGCCGAACCTGAATTTGTCGCACCGAAATTGAAGGCTGGGGTGCTATTATTAACTGGAGCTTGTGTCGAGGAACCAAAGGCAAAAGTAGAATTACTATTGTTATCTGCCGCTTGAGATGTAGGTGTAAAATTGAAGCCACCGAAACCTGAAGTTGATGTTTGATTCTGCGAAGTTGAAGATCCAAACTGGAATCCACCTGCGTTCGACTGCGTCGCGTTTGTTGCACCGAACATATTTTGTGGTTGTGTATTATTGGAAGAACCTAAAGTATTTGATTGCTGTTGTTGGTTATTCTGGTGGAATGGAGAGTGTGAAGCAAATAAGGCTTCCTCATCTTCACCAGCTGCTCTAAAGCCACCGCTGAATACCTTGCTTTTTCTTAGAGCTTCTTCACCTGTTGTATCTGCACGTGGGTCATCGTGGTTGGTTGATGCAGCGGATTGTGCGAACGGATTTGGCGTCGAGTCTCCAAATGAAGGACTGAAAGATGGTGTTCCAGCCGGCGCTGAAAAGTTGAATGCACCGGGCGCAGCTACACTTCCACCAAACAGACCACCACCGCTTCCACCGCCAACGGCAGCATTATTATTAGGGTTGTTGTTTTGTAAGGGTGGAAAGCCACTACTTTTTTGGCCTGCCAATCTGCCTCTGGGTTTCGCTTTGATGCTGCGTGCTGCCAGCTGAGCAGCATTTGCTTGTTGCGGCGAATTCATCGCGAAGGTAAGGCTGAGAATTTAGATGACGCGACTTGGTGATCGACAGGACCGAGGATCAATGATTACAATGATTGTCGCGTCCTCTCGGATGGAGTCGATAAATCTTGAATCGCCAGGGAGACAAGAATATTGGAAATGTTGTCAAAATAATGCGCAAACTCGAGATGAAGAAGTTGTCATCAAATGAGTATTGGGTATTTAGGGATGTCGCATGCGAAAAATGTGGGATCGACTGCAAAGACTTGGAGTAATTTATCTAAGTATGCAGCATTCTTCAAATCTAATATTGATTGGAAAATGAGATGTCGCGTTTTTATCGTGATTGTCGAAATAATTGTGAATAGAATGAGGATAGAATAGAAGAGACTCGAGTTGTAAAGAAACTGGCAACTATGTAAATAAATTGATGTCCGCACGGCGCGATGTTTAGCGGCAGGAGAGAAATTTGATTTGTTTGATTCCTGAGGCATTCAATCCACTTACGTCCCCATACGGTACTACTACTACTGCTACTACTACAACCTAGAACGATCAAATTGAATCCAATCAACGGATGAGTGCTGCACAATTGCCTAGGTAATTGTATGCGGTCATTATATCAAATTAGGTCTCTACTCCAATGAGAGAAAGGTACGGTTCTACGGTTCAAGAGTACACAGCCTTACAATATTCACTCAATATGGGTCGGTAGGTATCCCACATTGCCTACCTACGTAGGTAGGTAACGAATGCTTTGGCTATTTATTCTATTGTTGGTTCCCATAAATTGGAGGAATGTGATGCAATGATACATGTCTGCACGTGACTGAATATTGAATTCCAGCTGGTGGAAAATTCTGGCTACTGAACATGGTACATCTCTGATTGAGGAAGTATCATGGCATGGAGCCAATTCTTATTACAGCAAAGATCTGGACCAACAAAAACCCGAGCGGATGTCCGGAAAATAATATGTTTGAGAATTTTACAGATCTCAGTGGTTTTCTATTATTTGTTGCAACGAAGAAACTCTTTCTCGAGGGCAGATGCGAGCTCTTCTTTGATAGAAGGGATCAGGGAGCTAAGTTCCAGCGTCGAAGTGGAATGAGTAACTCTTGTATATCAATTGCTAGTTGCAAGCACATCAGTGAGAAGACGCTCTGAGCGTTAGTGGTATTGGCCAATATAAAGTTGAACTTGTTGCTGCGAAGGTTTCTAATCTCGTCCAAGGTCGATTGGGAGTATCTAGGTATTGAAAGTTTGGTCTATACAGTACGGATATAATCGGACCTTCATCCACATTCTAATCCATCCATGGATGTTCTACTCCCTGTATACGGATCTGGTGCTCCGATAAATTACATACTTTCTATGGGCTACAACTACGGATTAAACCACATGCTCATGACTTTGCTCAAACATGTTGGTAAGATAGTTGTTGGAGGTGGATCAAGTGCTTGCCAGTACTATGGAGACATTGAGTAAACGCTAGGAGTTCTGTACTAGCGTAGAAGTTAGTAGCAAGTGTTGCTACTTCCAGCACCTAGCAAATGCTTCTAACAGTTGTAAATCACAACGCCTTATGTCGACTGCACGAGCCTAGCTGATGATTAATGAGATCGTGATACTCACACGGATCATAGTCGAGAATTGGCTACTTATCTAGACTAATTCCTATAAGTGATCTAATCCTACTTCCTTTACTCTCCATTTGCCATCTTCAGAAAATCTCTCTTTTTTCCCACCCCATCATAAAATCAAACATGCCAGGTACACCACCTTTTACTCTTTTTGGTGGCGCTTCTTTTGGAGAAGGTCTTCTTGCAACAGCAGAAGATATTCAGCAGCTACTGGCTCTTTTGGTCACTTTGAACATTGGTCACATCGATACTGCAGCCATCTACCCTCTTAGCTCGCAGGGAAAGTCGGAACAGCTTCTTGGTGAAAACTATGCCGATCATAGCTTTGCTATCGATACTGAGATCAAGCTTGCGGATTTCTCCGGTAAAGGCTCATTGACAGCATCGGCAATTAATGAAAGTGTCACGGAAAGTTTGTCTCGTATTAAGACAAAGGTAAAATCCCTGATTTTTCCGTCAATTATTTACCATAGCCCGCAATATACTCACCCACTCGATCATATTTGATTCATCAACCCCAATCAGCGAAACCCTTGCTGCTCTCCATGAACTTCATCAGCAGAATAAGTTCCAAAAGGTTGGGCTATCTCAGACTATCTAAACCTCAAACACTAGCTAACACAGAACAGCTTGGAATATCCAACTTCTCTGTCGCACAAGTCCAAGAGCTTCTTGAAGTATGTGAAAAAGAAGGCTACGCCAAGCCTAGTTACTACCAAGGACAATACAATGCGCTTTGCCGTGAAGCAGAAATGCAACTTCTTCCGATCTCACGCCAGCAAAAGATATCATATATTACTCATAGGTACGAGGCACTTCAATCTTCATAGTATACCTGATTAACTAATATGTCTTGAACAATGTAGTCCGCTTGCAGGAGGGTTCTTGACAGGAATATTCACATTGGGCACAGACGTCACTGGAACTAAATTCGAGGATGGTAATTCAAAGGGAGACTTCTTTAAGAGAAGGTATGACAATGAACATACACACTCAGCTATGAAAGAATTCATTACCCTACTCCAGCCCTACGATATCACTCCCTCAGAAGCGGCCCTGAGATGGATTTACTACCATTCACCTCTCCAAGAAGATGATGGTGTGATACTAGGAGCTAGCAAACCAGTGCAAATTTCTCTTAACGCTGCTGATATTGCAAAGGGGCCTCTACCTTCGGACGTGGCCGAGGCCATGGAGAGAATGTGGACGAACATTCAGGCACACATGTAGAACTAGAGTACATGAAGTAGATTGTTAGTGAGAAATGATCATTCCACATGATATCATGATTATCGTAAGTGGTTGGAAAATTAGAACAGAATTGAGGCAGCTTTGCATGGGTTACTATCTGGGTATTACACCGCGACGTATCGTGCTGTGCTTTGCCGCATCGATGTGGCGCATTTACTTACAATCGGAAGCAATCCTACCAGAGTCCCAAACAAAATTGTTTTGTTACGCGGCACTGTATTGACCCTGAAACGAAATTCACTGATGAAAAATTACGGCACTTCTAAAAAAGACCCCAACAGCTCACGCCCACCCCCTCTCAATCTTATTTAATTCTTGATAAATAATCAAGGTAATGTGAGCAACGATCCAGGACATCTCCACAAGTGCAGACTGAGAATGACTGCATGAGGGGTCAAATATTTACACTATTTTGAGAATATTTTGATCTCAAATTAAATATAGAAGAAGAACATTTTATCCCAGGAATAGGGTGCCAGTCGTAGCAGAATGATGGGTTCTTCCTCTACGAAGGACCATGTGCTCAAGATCGGCTTTGTAAGTCTACCTTGCATTCATAGCCTTGGTTCAAGCGCTGCCATCAAACGTTCAGTAGGTACAGCTGCAACCCACTCTCTTCGATCTGGTAATTCGACATGCCGGAATACTCCAGGGCTAGACCTTTTCTCTTCATCTAAATATGATCGGTGATGAGGTAAAAGATGCACGCGTACGCGAAAGTTGCGGATTACTTGTGATATTGACAAGAAAAGTTCCAAATATGCAAAGCTTTGTAATAAATTCATGTTAGTCTCAAGCTCAGGCAGTATCAAATGAAGAGTGGTGGACTTACTGAGCGCCCATACAAATATTTGCACCCTTGGAGAATGGTATGTAGAACTTATCTCGTAGAGGATCATCTCTAATCTTCTGTCCGTCAGATGTAAGCCATCGGTATGGATTAAATTCTTTTGGCCTTGGAAATGCGACTGAGTCGTGAAGATACCAAATTGGCGATGAGCTGATTACTGTCTACGACAGAATCACGGATTAGCGTTCATTGAGAATCTTTACCAACAAGAAAGGGAAGCGAGAGTACTTACATTTTCCGGCAAAAAGTGCCCATAGAATTCTGCTCCGCTCTCGGGTACAAGACGAGGAAGCATGGCAGCAGCTGCACCGGTCCATCGAATGCCTTCTTTTACACACGCCCGTAATCTAGGTATGCCCTCTAAGGTTGTCATATCCGTGGAAAAGCTCACCGCGGCAAGATCCTGGAACAAATCTTCTTGGAAGCTAGGGTTACTTCCCAAAGCCCACAAAATGTGAGCTAAAGTCGCTGAGGTCGTATCCGTACCGGGGCCCAGATTCTCTGTCGCTTCTGACAAGGCTGTGGAAGACGGCAGGTTCGAATTGACCATGGTCTGGATCAAATTGGGGAAAGGAGAAGTCGATTTTTCCTGATTTGCGTTGTCTGAAAGCATTGTACGCCAACTTTTTTCTGCCCACTGATAAATGCTAAGTATTGCTAGACTGGAATGATACCCTTGGAAAGATGCTTACTTGATGAAAATCGAGCATTGCTTTGTTGTAGGGGTTCCTGTAGCCTGTTATTGAAGACAAAATTTGCTCTGTCCATTCCCACATATTGCACAACCCCGGAAAACTAGTCAGCTATCCGAAAAGTTAGTATGAGAACTCTTTGATCTGGCTCGGCTTGAGCTTACCAGAGGCATCCAAGTGGCCTTTTCATCATTTTTTGCTATCATCTCAAGTTCAGCTCCTTGAGAGAATGCATCGAGAGCACCGATCGTATGCCCAAATGAGAACTCAGCTGGTTAGTTTACATCAGCATGCTTTCACCAAAAGACTTCTACAGGCAGGAATACACATAATATCCGCTTCGAGTGCGCGACATACTGGCAGCAAATTCGCCCCATCTCTGCTTGATGCAACAGTTTGCACAAAATGATCGATATGATTCAACATCAGTCCTTCTAATTTATGCATTTGGCTGCGGTTGAATAATTGACCCATGAGTCTTCTACGTTTCGAATGCTCCACAGGGTCACTGAGAAGATCAGTTGATATCCGGTCATTGAGTTGGAAAGAATCATACGTTATCGAAAACAAAGCAGGACTACCACCTTGCACAAATTCTCCATACACCCGCGGATCTTTCTTGAATCTGCTATTCACCTTGTGAACTGCATCATACATTTCCATGGAGTAAAATGAAACTTCATTTGGGCCGATACGAACTAGAGGACCTATGAATATGTCAGTCGTACAATTTGTTAGAATTGTTATCATTCAGCATACCGAGCTTCTCGTGAAGTTTAGGCAGATCCAAGGTTATGCATCCTTTGTATTCTGTTGGAAAAGCCCATAACAAGCGAGAGTACGGTGCACCTACTCCTGCATTGGGGAGGGACGACAATGGCGAGAAGTATTCGCGAACAATTCTCTATATCAGAGTTTAGACTTTTACAAAAATGTCATAGGGAGAAAAACCGTATGACTTACGACAAGGCAAAGTCCGACAAGGACGAATACCGTACATTCAGCAAGGAGAGAGAGCGGGAGTGGCATCATTTCTTGTCTCAAGTATTACGATCTCTTTTCAAAAAGCTCAGAGGGAGCGATATCAGACACGAAGAGTTACAATTGCCCATGAGCTTTTGTTTAAAGAAGCCGCGTCTGCACCCAGGGCGCCGCACTTCGTACTAGTAGTGGGAGGTGGTATCACATTGTCGGGACCGGTAGTTGCGTGATCGATGTAGCTTCGGGGGGATTTATGCTTTCAGCTAGATCCTCAGTCCAGTCCATATTAGCAGATAAGGAGTACAAGTCATCAAGGACACAGGCGATTGAAATTTTATTGACTCATCTCCTGGAGAATCTAGACGTAAATCGAAACTCATCTGACTGTACTTCCTAAAGTCACTGCGGCATATCTGGTGAGTGTCATGTGCAAGGAAGTATTGAGAAGAAATAGATTATGTATCTTGAGGATCCACCATCACGATCAACACATTTTCTTTTAACATGCCGTCATATCATCCCTGCCATCAAATAAGCGAGGTGTGCCGTTTTTCAACAGTGGTTGCTCCAGTCCACAAGACGCTTCCACACTCTCAAAAAGAACAATTGATCCGTGAATAGCGGAGGACATCTCTGTCGGGTGTAGTTTGTGAAATTGCGAAAGGTGGGATATATTTATCTTAGTTAAATTGAAGTTATTGAGCGAGAACCACCCATAGCACAATTGCGAGGGCACAATGACGTGCTATTCAGACTTACTAGAAATGACCGGTGAAGCTACGAGTTCGAATGAGAAAGTATTCAGAGCTCTGAACTGCAAATTGCATACATATCAATGATCCCGCGGCTGTTATTTAACTATACGATGAGCAATCGTAATCCAATTGAGACGACACATCATTGAAATACAGTCACTTGGATGCAGCTGAGGTGCGGAATCGAAACTTCTGAAAGCTTTACATGATGGGGAAACATAGATACATTGAAGAGTCTATCGATAAAAGCCTAGTGGATAATCCAGGAGAACCTAGTAGTAATAATGAGGATGCCATAGTCTTGGTAAATTAAACCTCATCTGATCTCTATCACAAAGCTAACTACACAACAGGAAAATCTTGGCTACACACCTGTAAGGAAAACGTGATTTGTGATGTGCCTCTTTACCATCAAACTAAATCAGTAACTTAGGTTCTACATCGATCCTTTAGTTTATTTCATAACTTTTCAACCTCATTCGGTATGTATCTTCTATCAATCCACCCATCCAAAGAATCAAACTACCACCTCAAAAAGCCGCCCTTTACTTCGTCGGTGGTGTTCGGGTTACTTTTTCGACGGGTATAGCCGCTGGCGGTAATCTAGCCTACTGGACAAGTTTCATCATAAGCTGTGTTTTCACCTTTGTTACTGCTGCTGTGATCGCAGAAATATGCTCATCTCTACCACTTGCCGGATCCATTTATTTGTGGGCGGCTGAGGCTGGCGGTCCTCGCTTTGGTCGACTATTTGGCTTTGTTGTCGCGTGGTGGAGCACAACTGCTTGGACAACTTTCTGTGCGAGTAAGTGAACGGGACAAGCTATTGTATGTCCCTGCTAATCTGGTTACATAGGTAATACTCAGGGCGCTGTCAACTATTTGTTATCTGTAAGAGTACAGAATCTCGCCCCTACTCTACAAATCTGACTACTTCCCAGGAAACCGTGGTGTTCAACATAGACTTCCCATCGGATAGTTCCGATATCAAGTTTCGCGCTCTCCAATGGATCACAACCGAGATCATGTTAGCATTGGCTGCAATATGGAATCTCCTACCTCGTGCGTAATGCTCTGATCCCAACAATCGATTCACACAGTGACCTCTAATAACAATAGCTCGTTACTTCAAATGGATATTTTATTTATCAACTTCATTCGTTATACTCGATTTCCTCTTGAACATCATTTGGCTACCCATCGCAACGGCCCGGACAATCGGATTCAGATCTCCTCATGATGCGTTCATGACTACCTATAACGGTACGGGTGCTCCAGATGCGTGGAATTGGTGTCTTTCATTTCTAGCCACGGCAGGAGTATTGATCGGTTTTGATGCTTCGGGTCATGTAGCCGAGGAGACGAAAAATGCAGCAGTCACAGCTGCACGTGGTATATTCTGGAGCACGATTATTAGTGGTATTGGTGGCTTTATTGTTGTTATTCTTTTCCTCTTTTGTGTGGTATTTATCTCCACGATTCTTTCAGTATTACTCGATTGTTCTAACATTTCCACAGCCTGACGCCGATACATTCTTTTCCTTTGGTGGACCACAGCCATTCGTTCCACTGTACGCTGTTATCCTCGGAGATGGCGGGCACATCTTCATGAACATCATCTGTATCGTTGCCCTTTGGTTCAACACTGCAATCGCAGTGTTAGCTGCATCTCGCTTAGTATTTGCTGTCGCTCGCGATGGCGTCTTACCCTTTTCAGGCTGGGTATCCCAAGTTGTCGACGGCCAACCTCGAAACGCAGTTCTCGTAGTCTGGGGCGTATCAGCTCTCATAACTTGTACCATCCTACCCTCCGCTGTAGCCTTCACCTCTCTCGTTTCTGCTGCCGGAGTACCGTCAGCAGCTGCCTACGGTCTCATTTGTCTCGGACGTCTTTTCTGCACACCCGAGACCTTTCCAAAGCCGGCCTGGAGTCTAGGTAGACTTAGCAAACCGTTTCAGGCGATTGCCGTGCTTTGGAATGCATGGGTGGTGGCTATTTTGTACTCACCGTATGTTTGGCCTGTAGAAGCAGATACGCTTAATTATGCACCTGTGATCATGGCTGCGACAACTATCTTGGCGTTGATTTCTTGGTGGGTTACTCCGGCTGAGCGATGGCTCCCAAGTCAGCGTATTCAAGAGACTCTGGAGGCACGTGGTGCAGGAGATCTGGTTGAAGAAGACCATTGAATGAAAACACGTTCGAATTAATTCGTGCTTACCGAAAATGTAAATCTACCTGGATCACAAAATAATCTAAAACACAAGAGGACCTCGCATGTTTCTTTGATATTTTCTCCTACAATTAGTCTATAAAGTTCTGTAATAATACAGCTCAAGTACCTAAACTAGACTTCAACAGTTGCTTTACTAAAAGTTCCATTAACCTGATAACCGACATCATTTTCCAGTCCCTCTCTTAAGCGACGGCAATACTTTCAGTCTCTGCAGCTGGCCCAGTGACCTAATTCCAACCCCCACCCCCATCATCAACATCACCTCCCGAAACGCCTTTTTTTCTATCCGCAAGACCAAACTCCGTATCTAACTCACTCCTCAAAGTAATCTCCCTCACCAAAACCACAGCCAAGAAAGCGATCCCAAAAACCACGATCCCAACCAACCAAACACGCCTCAGTACACCAGTATAGACACCCATCACAATCTCTCTACTATCTACAGAGAACGAATTAACAAATCCCCAGTAACATGTTGATATACTTTCCTCGCGTGCGCAAACCTCATACCGCAGGAGAAATCCAGTAGCTGAGCTGATCAAAACGATTATTGAAAACAGTCTCCGGAAGCGAGCTCATTGATCTTCCAATCGATGAAATTTGAATCTTCCTCCGGTAATTCACATGCGTCTAGGAGCCCAGTGAGCTTCCTACTTTGTTCTATTGATAATTTCGATACTTGCATCTATGCGTAGTTGTGAAACAAGCATTTATTGAGCATGCTGAAATAATAATAATAATAACAGTAGTTGATGCCCGAAAAATATCATACTGATAAATGCAACTCAGTGATCAGTGATCATGAACTTACTATGTGAAGATAAAAGCCAAACTTCTCACCTCTGCATCGAGAAATGTATACCATATTCAATACTGTGAGATGCAAGAGTTTTCTCGATCTCTCTCGGACTTAATTCCAGTCCGAGTATCTAATCTATCTATTTACACATTTCCCTTTCGCTTCCCCCAATCACCCCCTCACTGATCCTCTCACTGCAAATTAACAAACAGCCCCCCGTCCACCAAAAGTCCACTCCCATTCACATACCCACTCAACTCCTCACTTGCCAGAAAAACCGCCGGCCCCGCCAAATCCCCCGGAACCCCCGTTCTCCCCAACGGAATCCTTCCTTCCATGTATTTCCTCTTCTCCTCATCTTTCAAGTCCTCCTCATTCAGTTGCGTCCTGATGGTTCCAGGTAGGAGCGCATTACATCTAATACCGTGTTTGCCCAGCGCACACGCCATACTTTGCATGAGTGATAGAACACCGGCTTTGGTGGGTGTATAATGGGTTTGTTGTGCGCCGCCTACGAGAGCGGAGATGGAGGAGATAGCGATGATGGAGCCGCCGGGAGGAGATTGGGAGGACATTTGACGGGCGGCGGCTTGGGAGGTGTAGAAGGCGCCGTCGAGGTTGGTGCGGACGGTGTGGGAAAATAGATCAGGTTCTAGTCTATTGGATTTGTTAGTTTCTTTTTCATCACTTTTCCCCACTCCTTTCCCCTTCTCGTCCCCGCCCAAACACTCCCAAACAAACAAACAAACAAGTAAATCAAAAAAACTCACTCCAAAAACTCCGCAAACCGACAAACTCCCGCATTACTAACAAAAACATCCAGTCGTCCCCATTTCCCCACCGCTCTCTCCACCAGTTCCTTTCCCGTCTCCGGTTTACTAACATCTCCAGGTACATCTAACAATTCTCCCGCTTTCTCATTTTCTCGCACCAGAGCTTTGGCTTCCGTACGCAGTGATTCCAGATGTGGGATATCGGAGTCGAGGCCGAGATGATTGACTGCTACATTACATCCTTGACGAAGATACAGGAGAGCAATTGCGCGGCCGACTGCAGGAAAAAAGAATTGTTAGTCGAGGTATGTAAGGAAAGGGTTTTGGGCAATTGGGGAAAACGCACTTCCTGTGGTTCCACCAGTTATAGCGGCGGTTTTGCCGGCGAGAAGATGCACGCCCTTGAGACTCATATTTTGGATGGAGATCTTAAATTCGTATAGGTTTGTAGAGTTTACATGTATATGTAGGATGAAATGAACGTTATGTTGTTTACTGCTATGGCGGGGTATCGGGGGATGAAGCTCGTGATGAGTATGTGAAATGATTGTTTTCCTTTAAAGATGGTAGAGTATGACAATTGGTGTAATGTAAAGAGTACATGGAAAGTCACTTCAACAAGTACCTAGGTAGTAGTAGTATGTGAGAAGTATCAAATAATTTTGGTATGAATTGGCGTTGTGTTGTAAGTGAATCAATAGTTCCAAAAAATTAGGCCCTTGTCAATAGTGGAAGGACCCCGCGATTCGGTTCTCGAGTTAAAGACCACCGAAGCCGAAGTGGTGTGTAAAACGTGGGGCAAGTTGGCCGTCCACATGTTCTCACAAGGTGTTGTCATGTTTATGCACATTTGTAAATGATACTCTAAAAAGCCTTGGGGTATGATCATACGGAAATAGATAACATTGCATTGCATTGTGTATATAAATTAAAAGGCTAATAAAACAAATTGGCTATGATTCAAACTATGAACTTGACAAGTTCTTGATTTCTTCCACCACTCCATTCACAACACCCTGATTTTCAGACTTCTTGTGCTCAACTGCTGGTTGGCCAAGAGGTCTCTCTGGGTTTGGCGTTAAGAGGTATTGCGCGGGAATAAGTCGTGCAGCTGGGTTGAGGGTCAAACCAAAACCTGGCTTGTCGAGTTGTGAAACATCCAGGTATCCTTTCACTGGAATTGGTTCATCCAAGAATAAATCTCCAAAGACGGGTAGAACACTCTTTCCATCTGGTGAATTTGCAAGGTACTCTTGGAATGGACAATTTGTTTGAGAAACCACAAAATGGTAACTGTAAGGTCCACTTGCATGTGGTACCACCGGAATATCATAAGCGGCCGCCATTGCTGCAACTTTGAGCAATTCCGTCATTCCTCCAAGCCACATAACATCGGGTTGAATGATATCGAGATTTCGACCTTCGATAAGTTTTCTAAATCCATATCTCGAGTATTCATGCTCACCCGTGGTGAACTTGAGTTGTGGATGAGCTTGCTTGATTTGTGCAAATCCATCAGTGTCGTCTGGAGATAAACACTCTTCCCACCAATTGATATTTAAATCTTTGCAAGCTGCAGCAATTTGAATAGTGTATGGAACGTTGAGACTCATGTAACAATCGACCATGAGTGGGAAATCAGGGCCCACGCTTTCTCTATGTTTTCTGAGGAATTCGACGTTCTTTTGGAGTCCCTTGTGACCCTCTTCTGGACAATATGGCAGTGGAACTTTAGCACCCCAGAATCCCATGGCCTTTGCGGCAGTAGGTTCTGGTCCTGTGCAATAAAAGTCTAGCCTCTCCCTTGTCGCTCCTCCAATCAACTTGTATACTGGCTCTCCTCTGATCTTTCCGAGTAAATCCCAAATTGCTAAATCAATAACTGAGATGACAGCAACCGGAAGACCCTTTCGACCATAAAACATTGAACCTCTATACATTTGTTCGAAGAGATGGTTGGTATCTCTTGGATCGGCACCGATAAGGAATCTTTCGAAATGTTGGTGAACTAACCAACACGCTGGTGGACCTGCGAACATGTGGTGAGTTTTGATCGGTGAGACAGGAGACATTAACAATTACCTCCAAATCCTGTAGCAAATCCAATGGTGCCATCTGAACCTTCTATCTCAACGCAGAATGAACCTAGCACATTGATACCCCAACTAGTTCTTGAAGCTCTGTAGTTTTCCCATCTTGACATGGGTGTGGAAATCGGTGTATCAATCAACCTGATATAAATTATTAGTACAAGTCATAAGGTGTACTTTGGCCAAACTCACCAATGTCCACCCTTAACATTGTGATAATCTCCTCCAGATCCAACGCCATCCACAACAAAAGTTCGGATAGCTTTGATGGAGGGGAAACTGCGAGCTGATGAAGAAGCCATTGTGATTTGGCAGAGAGGAATAACAGTACTGAGTGTAGCAGCAAGACAAACAGATGGAAGTGAAGAGAGAAGTCAGGATTGTACCACTGTTTACTTATGGTTGATGGGTAGGGAGGCTACTTTGTAGATTTCATGAGAAACACCTTGGCGGGGGGGATTGTTCATTCCAAATTGAGCCGGGAGAATATCGACCGAGCTATTTTTGAAGCGGAACGTAAAGACGATTTCATAATTTTGGAGCGAGCATAGATAGATCTGGGCCTATTAAAGTATTGGAAATTTCTTGGCGTGTGAGACATCAATTGTTGTGGGTGATGTTTGTTGAAGAAGTTTTTTCCGGTTATTGTGTGTTGTAGATGTTGTAGGTGATGAGGATGAAGTTTGCGAAGTTTGGAAGATTTTCTTGTAGAGCTGCGAGTATAATGAATGAATGGGGTTTGCGAGTACAAGGGATTGTGTGTCCCGGGCAAAGCAAATGCATCCTATGACTTTCATATACTACTTTATTACTGATATCATATCAATTCATCTTATTCATTGATCCATCTACTTAGGTACAGAGTATTTGCAGCAGGTGGACTTTTCCATGCAGAGAGGTAGAAGCATTTCAAGTTCTCTCAGCAGGGTTTCTCACCAAGTTCTCTCACCAGTTCTCTCACATGCCAATCATTTATCATCTGTCAGCAATGCACCACCAGTGGCCCGTTGCATAGGTATGAAGATATGAAAACATGAAAACATGAACACATGAAAACGTGAACACTCAGTAACCCGCCCAAGTAACCCCATGAATTGATTGATCAATGAACGAGTCAGCTGGTGACGGGTGACGGGTGACGGGAGGTGCATTAACCCAAAGTTACCCCACAAAACCCAATTCAAACCCTGTGGGGAGTCAAGCCGTTACATTGAATCAATCACTCAATCCCTTGTAATCGATAGCGTTGGGAGAATTGTACACGATAAAGTTTGTATCGTCTGCAGCTTCCATGATTATTGTGTGATATTGACGTGATCAATCAGAGTCTCGCATGGAAACGATTGTTTCATGGTGGAATCGAATTTACATTATTCACCGACACGACCGAAGAGAGAACGAAGAGGAGCGTGAGTGAGTGAGTGAGCGTGTGTTGTGAGTGAGCGTGTGAGTGAGTGAGTGTGTGAGTGTTGTGTGTGTCGTGTGTGTGTATGTGTGTGTGTGTGAGTGAGAGAGAGAGAGCATCCATATCTTTTTGCTTTCTGATCAGTACAAACTAGCTAGTCCCTATCGAGATACTCCAGAGTCCGCACTTCGTATTCACCCACCACATTTTCAAATGCCTCTCTCTCTATCTCTTCAAGGATTCCCGGGTAATGACAATAGCAAGCTTCCCCATACACCATACACCCATACACCCATACACCCATACACCATACACCATGAACTTTAATCCGTAATCCATAATCCATAATCCATAAAACTTCATATTCAAAGAAAGACATGCATGCACACGTGCCCCACCATATTCTTTTTCCCTCGTCCTGTCTTTTTTCCATACCTACCTACCTACCTACCTACCCTACCTACCTAGTGAAATCTTACATACTTGACTTACCACAAAAATACCATCACATTCACTTGGCTATTGGTAAAAAAATTCAAAACCCCACTTCCACCTCCTCGCTCATTTAATACCGAGCTTGTCCTTCTTCTTCGTTCCCATCTTCACCGAGATTCGAAACAGGTGGGTTATCAATATTATCATTTTGTTATCGGAATCAAATGTCGGCTTCTATGGATATCCAACAATCACCTAGAACGTCTTTACGTTCTGGTGCAACTCAACCCGAGAGTGATGGAGACAATGACCAATATTATAGCGGGGAGGAGGATAGTATTGATGCAAATGGAGACGGTCCTCGCAAAAGGCAACGTCGGCCGATGTCAGTTTCGTAAGGAATTATGTCTCGTTCTTCTCTCCCTGCTGTCCCTGATGTCCCCAATGATCCCGACATCAACAATAACGACGAGGAGTCCTCTGTTGCCAATTCCCTTCCGGTCAAGGAATCGGAAGATCATCCCCCAGTTAATGATACGGAAAATGTTGGACATGATTGGCTGACATTTCGTCGAAGGTGTGAGCTATGTAAGCAAAGAAAGGTACGTCAGTGATCAGGTCATCTTTTCAATTCAAAATTCATCAAAATTCATCTCAATCTGGTATCGATTGGTTCAAAGGCATATACGAGATTGCTGGAAATACATGTGCGCGACGCTAATGTATCTTCCATGTGTCTCACTATGACTTTGATAATACACTTCCGAAATCTTCAGATTATTCGTTCGAAAATTTGATGGATTGTATTCTGACTTGAACAGGTCAAATGTGATCGCGGTCAACCATCATGTGGATGGTGTAGTCGCAATGGTGCTGTATGTGAATACAAAGAGCGCAAGAAACCCGGTTTAAGAGCTGGCTACGGTCGAGAACTGGAACAAAGATTGGATCGACTCGAGGAAATTCTACGCTCGCATGCTCAAATTTTAGAATCATCCTTTGGTCAAAACAGCAATAGTGTTGCCAATAGCGTTCCGAGCGATCACGGTACACCACAAAGTATTCATAGCTTCAGACCCAATGAAGGGCTCTCTAATCATCGTGGAGGGCATGTTGCCAGAGCAGAGACAGCCCTATTTCTTCAAAAGCCTTCTACATTTGGACAACAAAATACACCCATGGATTTTGGTAATCCAATGCCTCCAACTCCCTCGATGCCATCTATTCACGGCGATATCTTCCATCAGCAACATACCCCTGTAACACAAGGATCGCACCTATCCATGGATATGCAACAAAGTCACTCAATCCCAACTAGTCAAGCACCAGATTTTTATAGTACGAATCAACCACCTCTACAATCACCTAGCTTAAACATTAACCAAAACCCAAATGAAGTCTCTTCCGATCATGCTTTACCGCCGTATGATTTGCTATATGCATTGGTTGACCTCTACTTTAAGTATGTCAATACTTGGTGTCC